TCAACCACTTGCCTCATCAACTGGAAGGCCAGCCTCGCTTGTCACTCACATGTGCCTTAGGGGAGCTCCTGGCCACCCTTTGCTTACTCAGACAATACCACACAGGCCTCTACTGTGCTGTATCTTTTCATTGACCATGGCCCTTGATGGTACTCAGCTCCTCCACAAACAACACAGTTCCACCATCAGCAATAAACCCACCTACACTTCTCCCCTCCACAGCACCCCATTTTCCCCCGGACAGCTCAGTTGGGCATCCCAGGAGGGAAGGAACACCAGGAGACATGAAACTACTATGCAGCATAAACTTTAATGAGTCTAAAGAGTGAAAAAAAGCAGTGCATGGTGGAAGGGACCTGGTCCAGGCTGCTACAAGGACAGCTGACACTCAGGCACCCCTTCACATCCATGGGACACACGTCTTCCTCCCACACACATGAGAGGAGTATGGTGAGCAGGACCCCTCTCCACTTGCTTGAGGATGAACCCATGGCACAGGAGCGCAGCAGACAACAGGGACTCATGATGCAGAGAAGAAAGCAGGAGAAGAAGACGACACCAGTTGGCCGTGTTTCCAGACAGCACAGGCTGGCACCTTGCTTCCCTCCCTCCTTTGCAGGAGGACACAAGGGTGCTCAACCCATCTGGAAAAACTGGCCAGCAGCTGTGTCCTCAGTCTGGCACCTGGCTTTGGCCTCACTGGATGGTCAGCACGGATTTTTCAAAGCAGGCACCTTCTGTTGAAGTAGCGGCCACCAAAGCCAGAGAGGTTGAAGCCCCCGGAGTTGATGGGCACTCCCTCCTCACTCAGGATGCTGCCAACAGCAGCGGAGGTGGAGGATCCCACAGCGGTGTTCTGGGGGAAGGAGCTGAGGATGGGTCCGGGCAGGGTGACCACCACGGGCGAGGGCTGGATCACCACGCGGGAGTCCTGGCACTGCCTGATGCAGGGCTCGTTGCAGCTGTTGGCCAGAGGGGTTGGGCCACAGGGACGGCACAGATCATAGCAGGACATGGCTGTGGGACAGAGGTGCAGCTGGGAGAGAGGGTAAGGAAAGCACAGGCAGCGTGTGAGGTGCAG